CGGCGCCCCCCGGGGCGGATGGACCAGGCTCTGCTGCTCGTCCGCAACGAGCTGCCCGCGCAGGGCCTGCGCCTCGCCGCCCTCTCCGGCTCCTGCCACCAGGTGAGCGGAGGGAGCTGCGGAGGGTCTGCGCCGTGTGCGTGTGGGGCGGGCAACCACCGGCCTCCGCTTTTGACAGCCCGGCCCCGGCCCTCGGCCGGGCTGCTTGGCTTTTCTGGCGTGTGGCCGTGGTTTCGTTGGGTTGCTCCGTCTCGGTGGTAGAGCGGCACGCCGGGAGGCCCCGCAGTGGGAGCTGCTCCAGCCCCTGGGCGCCTTCCCAGTCTTTTCTGTTGTCGCTGTGCGAAGCAGGTCCCCCTTTCACTCTCCTTGGGCGCTAACTAGCTCCCTTCACCCTCTTCTTCCACAGTGCTTGTATCAGTTCCTGGCGTTTGTCCCGCCAAGCAACGGGAGCCTGAGGAATCCGGGCACGGCGGCGGTAATGGTCGATACCCAGCATCCGCTCACCCTGCTGCTCAACAGCTCTGTGGGTGACAGAGAGCTCTGCAAGTATGTGGCCCAGCCCCAGGGAACACCTGGATAGCTTTTTCCTCTAATTTTTACTTTCTTGAAGTCGTGTGCCTGTTCATTGCCTGCTCATCACCTACTTTTTCCTGACTGTTTAGACCTAGAGTTCAGCCTTCACCCCACTGCTCTAACTGTGGCGTAATTGTAATTGTGCTGGAAGGATCTAGGCACAAGCAGGAACTGAAGTGGTATGCAGTGAGCCAGCAGCAGCAAGCACCTGGTTTCTCTTGCAGAGTCTGTAGTCCAAGAAGACAGGTGATGTGGTAGGCAGCACACGTGCGGTAAAGCATCTGTGTTGGCTTAGGGGAGGGTAATGCTTGGCAAAGGCAGAGCGAGGCAGCTCCTTGCTAGATCATGCTGTTAGGCCAAGTTTTCAGCTTGCCTTTCCTACAGGCATTCAGGCTTACAGCCCGCCAAATGCTGCTGCGGTATCTGCACATAGTGGGGATGGCTCAGCAAGTTTCGTTTCCTTTATCCTTTGCAGGATTCAGTATCATTTTGGAGAGTTTGGCAATTATTCCCTTGTGGTAAAGACCCTAAGTACAAGCACCAAAACTGTTTCTTGTGACCTAGTCATCAATGAAGGCCCTATCAACAGCTACCTCCGTATGTAATGCTCTGTTTTCCCCTCTCATTCTACAATGTGCATGTCTCCCAGAAGAACCAACTTCCTAAAAAGTCTGTGCAGCCGCTCGTGCTGTGCTGAAGATGTGTCATGGGCTTGCTCCTCTTCTCTGTCAGCATCTTATGTCCTTATGTTTTATACATCTGTCTTGAGGCCCTAACCAGAATCAGGCCTCTTCACCTGCTATACTGCATGACCACAACCTTTCTGCAGCAGGGATTAGCCCAGAAAAATCGATGGGTATGTGTCCATACAGGGAGATATTTTTGTAGTTAGTTCCTGCTTCCCTGCATGATTATGTATGTACACAGAATCCTCCCTCTTCTTCCCTCTGTCTTGCTTCTCTCACAAAATGGGAAACAATTCATATAGTGTTCAGATTTTTGTTTTTTGTTGCACGTTTCATTTTAAACCTCACATCTTGCTTTTTTGTTCATTTCTTTTTCCAGGCTGTTTCAAACTCTCATCTACGTCTCCTCCATTCTTTTCCTTTAAGTTAGGTCATTCTTTACTCCCTCCACTTTTCCAGCTGTAAAGGGAAAATTCTCCATGCTCGCAAGTGTGGTGTATTACCCCCTACCCTGTCTTCTTCATGTTGAGGCTGTTTCTGAATCTCTAGTTTCTTCTACAGAACTTACAGCACATTGACTCTTTTCTCACCATTGGCTTGTGATGCAGTGCAGTTTTATTTTGCCTTTTTTATATTGAGATGTGCAGTCACTGAGCTGCAGTTTTAAACTAGCCAGCTTTTGTTTTGGGGTTTTGGTGTGTTGTTTTAGTTTTTTTTTCCTTGGCACTCGGGCTGGGGATATGTATTGCACAGAGAAGGTGGTGTGATGATTGGTGAGTTGGGTTTTTTGTCACGTTTGTGTCTTGCCTGGCCAAGCCCAGCTGCTGAATGGTTTTGTTAGGTCATTTATAGTCATGTTTTTCTCTCTTTCACATAGCTATTCTCTTTGCTTTCCTGGTTTACATGGGGATCCTTGCTATCCTGATTGTTGGGCGCCTTTTTATGAAGTAAGTGAAGAGTCTTGTAACACCTCCTTGCATGTGAAGTGGGCCCGCCAGTTTAAAAACATGCATGCGATAATGCTTCAGTCCCACCATGGCACTGCTTGCAGATCAGATCCTGTTATCAGGTTGCCATGTACAAATAAGGCTGTGGTAGATGTCCAAATGATAATAAAAACAGAGTGCTACGATTTCCCTTGAGGAATATCTTGTGGCCTTGTTAGCTTATATGTGGAGCAGTTACTGCAGAGCAGCTGACGTCCGCTGTAAGCTCGCACACACCCTGCCTCACCCTCCCATGACTTGTTCCTGGGTTTAGCCCTGAATTGGCAATACAAGTCACTGGGAGTGAAGCGTGTGTAGCATATGTAGCCTTCCATCCTGGGTGCTGAATGATGTGAGCTGTCCCCGCCTGTAAACAGCCCGAGAATAAAGCCCCCGAACCTGAGCTTGTGGCAGTGTAATTACATAGCTGAACTGATGTCCCAGGTACAGTGTTACATATGTGAGCTGGGAAAACAGAAAAGGGGACCTTCTCAACTTTTGATTTATGCTGCTAAATAGTTGATATTAAGATGAAATTGGCTATAAAATACTTCTTGTTTTGTGTTTTAAACTGTTACTAATTTTCAGAATTGATCCAGTTAGAAACTGGGTTTACAAGAAACTGAACTCCAGAGAAACTGATCGTCTGATTAATTCTGTGAGTAGTATCTTTAATTTACATTCCACAGTGTTTTCACCTCTGAGGAACACACACTATCCAGATATTTAGGGACTTGTTTATGGCTAATCATCTTCGCCCTGTTTATGTTCCTCTTGGCAAATCTTTTACTGATGCCAGACAGGCAATTCTATATCAATGGAGAGTGCTAGACTGGGTTTCCATGCAAGTTGAGTGGATTGATCCCCAGCAGAGCTCTTGCAAGTCTTGCACATACAGTTTTGTGCCTTCTTTAGTTCCCTTGAAGCAAACATTTTAGTGAAAAAACTGTCTCCTTCTGACATAGACAATGTAAAGGAAGGGAGGAAATGCCATCTTTCATGTCTGCTTCCAGTACGCAGGAATTTTAGCAGGACTTAAGATTTCTCTGGCAGCCCTAGAGCTGGCATTTCTGAGTGAGCCATGTTTTGTACTAGAATATAGATAGATCATCACAGTTTGGGCTCTACATCTAGGAGGTCCAAACCTGTCTAGAATCAAAAGACTTGGAAGCAGAGCTCTGCAGCAATTCTTGTAGTTGTTCATCACCATAGCTACATTACAGCAATGTCTGCTTTATGCTGTCACTGGGGCTGATCAGAGTGATTTAGGGAACTCGATTGGAAATTAGCCACTCCTGTGTTTAAAAGGATTCATTTTCTGCTGGTTTAGCTCTCTAAACAGCCTCTTTGTGGTGTCAGACAAGTGGCAATGGGATGGGATGGATCCTGTTTGAGAATCTGGATCTGCTCAGCTCTGTTGTAAAGCAGTGCTCAGAGATGGCAAGTCTGTGGCTGATCTGGACTGGACCCAACTCTCATGAGTGTCAAACACAGGCTCTTTTCACTGCGTTTGTTGTTTCCACCCTGGTCAAAGGTGGAGTGTGGAAGATCTGCAGATATTACTGCAGCATGGTGGAGCCATGAAGGGGTTAGAAGTAGCAATTGGGGAAACAAAAGGAAGAGGAAGATGGGGAGAACAAAGACAAACACAGTATGTGAAAGTATGCGGTTTGCTGACTTCTGTTCCCTAGGCAGCTGATGCAGCTGCTGATATGCCCTTCATGTGTCTGGTTTGTTCCCAAAGGAGCTTGGGTCCCCGAACACAACAGACTCCGTTAGCAGTGATCCCACCCCGCGTTTGTGGAGCGCAGCCTCTCGGCAGCGGCTACGTTCCCTGGACACATTCCGAGGGTGAGTGTAAGCTCTTCCAAGGGGAATCATATTTTTCCAATGGTGGTTTGACAGTGTATGGAAATATATAGCAGATGGATAGTTCAAGGGGGTCTGTTTTACTTGGAAGATAATCAAGGTTTTAATTCTTGGATTTTCCGAAACACTTTACAGTTGATCTAGTTTGAGGAAACATTAAAGTTGTGGCAGAGGGTGGAAAAGAATAACATATGTTCAGTGCAAAAATGCTATGTGAAGGAGCTTACTTTGGTTCACCACCACCCATGATCTTTGAAACGCTGCTTCCTGGTTGGCAAAGCTGGGAACCTTGTATATAATCATGCTTTAAAAATAAAATAAACCAGATCTCACAGTTAGAAATGTTTTAATGGGGGTAAACATTAACTGTGTGTTCATATATATGTATTTCATTGACATGTGATACTCGTGTGTGTTTGTTGTCTTTTTAGGCTCTCTCTTATAATTATGGTGTTTGTTAACTATGGAGGAGGAAAATACTGGTTCTTCAAGCATGAGAGTTGGAATGGTAAAGTACAATTGAAACAGTTAATCTGGGTTTAACTGCAGCAGTATCTAGATATGGTTAGCACTGCAGCTGCTGCTGTGAGCTGTTGCTCAGCTGAAGGCTGGGATGCTGTGCCAGTTTGCCTCAGCAGGGTTTCTGGCCTGTCAGGTTAATGGGCAAAGCAGTGTATAGTCCTACTCGTCACAGGGAAGGATGGTTTCTGATCACAGTCTGTGTGATCTTTTAATTTCTGACACCAGTTCATATCTTTAACTTTTCTGTGTTCCATAATGACTACAGTCAACTGATGGTGCTTGATGCTGTACAAACATAATGTCTTGATTGGCAAGCTGATGGGTAAGGGGTTGGGCATTGTGCTGCCCTAGTGGAGAACAGCAAGGATCCCATCCCTGAAATCTTTCCCCAAGACATGGCAATCAGTTCTGACCCCGTTTTTGAAGAATGGTAAAAGCAGTGAAGCAAGATGATTAGTTCTTTGTAAGTTTTGTTTATAATGTCTTTTAGATTTGGGGGAATCAAATAATTGCAAGCAGCCTGCAATTCCTCTGGAAACTCAACAATAATGTTGTTAAAATTTAGGGAGGGTTTGAGGTAAATAATGTGTTCCTTTGTACTTCTCTGTAGGATTAACAGTGGCAGATCTGGTGTTTCCATGGTAAGTCTTCCCAAGGAATAGTTCTTGTGTCAAGTGATTCTTCATGTTAAGGAATGCAAGGAGAACGTTGTGTGCACCTTGCTTCCATGTGGAAATGTATCTGGAGGGGTGAATTTGTGTTAAATGATGGATAGGAGTCTGCGCCTCAAGATAACGGCATCATCCTTATGAACCAGTAGAAGATTTAAGTGCTTTTGGCTGCCTGGCATCCTCCTTGCTCCCTGCACACCATGTCAGTGGGAGGCTCAGAGCTATGCTGGTAGTGGAAGTGAGGAGCTCATTGCCATGCTGCTGTGTTGAAGGCAGTTAATCTGGCAAGATTCAAAGCTGGACCAATGTGTGTCCAGAGGTAAAATAGCCAAGGGAATTTTGGATTAAGTTAGTCTCTCTATAACCAGAGAGCGGTCTTGTGGGAAAGCAATTATCCCATCTGCCCCTAGCATGCTTCTCTAAAATACACACCAGTTGTGGTTACTCTTGGAGATGAGAACTGGACTTGGGACTGTGAACCTAATGTAGAGGAGAGGAGCAGGTCAGTTCTGAGTTTGATTCATAGATTTGCAGCTTGTGTTTTACTGCTCTGAAGAAGCTAATTTAATTTTGGGTAATGGAATTTTTTGGTGGCCTATGAATTGCTGCAGAAAGACCAATGCAATTACCTCCCTGAACTTTATTGCCTCAACTGACGACTGAAAGAGGCGGAAAGGTCCCATAGTGCAAGCTCTGTTGTCTGGGAATTCCTAGTAGTCAGAGGAAATAGTTTTCTAATTTCACTCAACGCATGCATTTCTGTTGGGCCAATGCAGGCTACTCTGTGGGCTTTAGTGTTTGCTGTCACACATATGTGTGATGAGACATCATCCAGCTCCAATTTCCCATCTGCTCTCTTCTCCAGGTTTGTGTTCATCATGGGGACATCGATATCATTGTCACTGAGCTCCATGCTGAGGTGGGGAAGTTCCAAGCGGAAGGTGCTTGGGAAAATCCTCTGGAGAAGTTTTCTGCTAATACTGCTGGGAATCATAGTTGTGAATCCCAACTACTGCCTTGGACCTTGTGAGTGAAACTTGCTCTCCTCCTTGCATTTCTGCAGCTGTTCTTGCCTCCTTGGCTGGGCTGTTGAGAAAAGAGTGTCAGCCTTGCTGTACTGACCAACTGCATGGGGGCAGTTCGATGGTATCCTCCCTGTAGAATGCTGTTCAGTTCTGCACTGATGCAATTCTCTCTTTGACCCCTGTGCTGACCACTGTTTATCACCTTAGTAGTGATGTGCCCAGGGTAGTGATTTATAGAAAGTGGGGTGGCAGAGTGGCACTGTCCCTTGTACCTGCAGGTACAGTGGGTCTCAGCTCTCCCTGGAGAAGGGCAGCTTTTTAGCATTTATAAAAGAGCCCATGTCTGTTCCTGTTCCATGTTTTTTCCAGTGTCCTGGGATAATCTGCGTATTCCTGGGGTTCTCCAGAGGCTGGGATTCACATACCTGGTAGTTGCTACTCTCGAACTCCTGTTTACAAGAGCTGGGGCTGAGAGCGGGGCCTTGGTAAGTTACGTGGGGAGATGACAAGTGATACAGGAGTACGGTTTGGGAGCTTTTGCTCTTCTTTGGGCACAAAGAACACATGAGAAATTATGAGAAAACACGTGCCATGTTACCTGATGCGTAGTGCAGCGTGACCTGGCAAAAATTTCAGGGAACATGCACCCTTCAGTGTCCTGGTCTGCATTTTATCACATCTAGTTTTGCTGTATTTGAGGATTTCACTGATCCATTCAGATGGTACTTAGAAGCAGGCATTCCCAGGCACTTTTGATGACTTTCCACTGCCAAAGGACGCCAGGGACAGGCATCTCTATGCTGAGTCCCGTGGCCCGTGTTTTGTCCAGTTAATTTTGGCAGTGTGTTTTCACAGCAGGGGAAAGTAATACTGCTTTTTGGCCCTTCTGGAGTCTGTTTGCCCAAAAGGCTTTTGTTCTACTCATGAATCAAAATTCCTTTTGACATTTTCCAAGCTAAAAAACATTGTGGCCTTTTGTTTTGGTTTCTTTCTCCCCCTCCCCCAAGTAACTAAGTGTCTGGAAATCATTTGTGAAGATGAAAGGTCCATTGGTAGAACCCAGTTTTGTAATGACAACAGCTCCCTCTTGTATCTGGGGGACTGTCTGCCAGGAAGTACAGGATGTCCCCAAGGGCATGGTTTTTACTTACCAAGCTAATAATACCCCCCTCCTTCCATCTCATGCAGGAGACGCCCTGTTCTGCTCTGCAGGATATTCTCCCCTACTGGCCACAGTGGATTTTCATTCTGATGTTAGAAGTGATTTGGCTCTGCCTGACCTTTTTGTTACCAGTGCCAGGTTGTCCCAGGTAAGACTCTGCACTCAGACTACTTTCTGTGGGGCATCAGATTGGTTTTCTTCTACTGAGTAGAAAATACATTTTATAGCCATAGGGAAAGAATGAAGAGGAGAGCTTTTAGGACAGCGGGGTTAAGGGAAGCATTCACCATGTGAAAAAACTTCCTTTACTTTGGTACTAAAGTACTAGGTGGCATAAAGGTGACATCATTGTTTCTATATAAAGAAGAGGATTAAAATCTCCCTGAGGTCTGTGTACAGCAGTATCTGATCATCTCAATGTCATCCCTGTCTCTATCTTTGCCCCTTTAAAGGGTCAGCACCTGCAGAGCAGGTGGAGCAGCTGGTTGGGTAGCCAAGCCTGAACTGAAGCATTGCTTTAGGCTCCTGATAGTGCCTGTCCTCTCACGACCCAGCTGCTCATGGCACCGGGACGATCAAAACAGTTTGGCCATCAGCCAACTGTCATGCAGGACCCGTGTTTCACTGTGTGCTTCTGCCCATGGAAAACATTGAACATTTAGTGTGCTGGCCAGTGGACCAGCTAGTATTCAGGTGCAGCATACCAACACTTGTGCCATAACCTGTTTATTCTGTCCTAGGGGCTATCTTGGTCCTGGAGGCATTGGAGACTTTGGAAACTATCCCAACTGCACCGGAGGAGCGGCTGGTTACATTGATCGTTTGCTTCTTGGAGAAAAGCACATATATCAGCATCCCTCTTCGAGTGTAAGTAGTTTTTGGTTTGCAGTATGAAGCTGCAGGCAAGCACTGAACATAGCTGTCAGGAGGGGCTGGGGAATGATACATGCAGGGGGATGGAAGAGAAAGGAGAATGGTTGCTCAGGTGCCCTGTAACAACTGTTTTTTTCTCCCTAAGGTGATTTACCAGACAACGATGCCGTATGATCCTGAAGGGATCCTGGGGACCATAAATACCATTTTTATGGCATTTCTGGGACTGCAGGTACCTTTTTTCTTTCTGGCTATGTGCTATAATAGGAAGATTTGAAGGAATCTTGGGAGTGGGAAGGCAACTTGGTTTCTTTATTCAAGGCTGAGACTGGTTCTAACAAAACCTTTTCCAGAGCAATGCTTTCAGGCTGACTTAGCCTGAGATGAGTGTCAGAGAAGTGGAATCTACCCTGGCAGTAGCTTGCATTAGATAAACTAAGACTTTTTTGCAGTTTTTGTAAGGGATGGACACAAGAATCTTGCAAAATCTCCACCCAGAAACCTCCTTTGCTTGTTTTAAGGTTGGGCTTATATTGGGAGTAGGCTGGCTCTGCATATTGGAAAATAGGGCCAAGAGATGCATAGACTTCACAGCTTCATTTTAAACATAGAGTTTTAAAGGTCACAGCTGTACATGTTCTCCGTTGCCAATTTTCCACTTGACATGCAGTGTTAGCCATCTTGCATAGGTGCTGTGGGTGTGCTCACCTTCCCAGGCACGAGGGAGGCAGGGGTTCACATCAGTGTTACCGACATCAAAAACTCACAGCTCATGTGTTTAAAACAGGGTATTGTGACACTTTTGGGTGCAGTTCTAGTTAGTCACTACTGGCTTTTCTGTCTATGCAGCAGTTGTTAACCAAACTGAAACTTGTCCTGGGAAAGGAATGTTACCGCATGTAGCACTGGGTAAAAACTGACTGGGAATCTCAGCGGGACAGAGCTGGGAACAGAAGCGTGGCTCTGAGGAATGAGTGAGTCATCAGGACACGTTGGTCAGTGGTGCATGGAAAGGAGCGTATGCTCCGAGCTGGCCAGGGTGCGACATGGCACTGTGGAGAAACTGTTGGGGCTGGCTGGGGAGTCGATGTGGTGGTGTTCCTTTGTGCAGTCCTTACTGAGGGAGGCAGATCTCCAGTCACATGGTGTTAACACAGCTGCTTGTCCCCTTCCTCAGTGGAAAAGTAGTGAGGAAGGGAGGAAAGGTGCACCTCTGCTGCTGAGTGGGTTGCATTTAAATATTTTCCCCAGCTGTGTCCATTCTTTGCAGAGTTCCCATTCTGAGCCTTTCAGCCACTCAGTTTATATAAATCCTATTCGTGTTCTCTGTCTTCGCACAGGTAGCTGGTGACAAATACTTCTGGCTCTTGAAATGTAGCTACATTTACAGGCATTAATTTTTTGTATTCTTCTTACATTAGGCAGGAAAAATTATCTTGTTCTACAGAGACCAGCACAAACAAATTATGAGTCGCTTTGTCATATGGAGCATAGTAATGGTAAGGCAGAGAGTTAGTAGCTCCTTAATGGACATGTCTTTTTAAGCAACGCAAACTTAGTATGTCTGAAACATGTTGCACCACTTTATATAAACTTTAGCAACTTTCTATTTCAGGGAATTATTTCTGCTATCTTGACAAAATGTTCTAAAGAAGAAGGGTTTATTCCCATAAACAAGAACTTATGGTAAGCAACAAGATAAAACTTTTAACATGATTTTGTGAAAGTGCTATTTTACTTTGGAGAATTGTTTTACCCTTCTTATATTGAGATGTCTGTGTCACAGTTCTCTAAATAATCTTTCTACTGAAAATGTGTGTAGGTCAATATCCTATGTGACAACCATGAGCTGCTTTGCCTTCATCCTCTTATTGCTCATATATTACCTTGTGGATGTCAAGAGACTGTGGTCAGGTGCTCCATTTTTCTACCCAGGTGAGTAAAATCATGGCAGAAAACATATTCCTTTCAATTCTTTCTGCACTGGTACTATCCTTTTATGTTTTCTGTGCTTCCCTTGTCTTTAAAAGAGTTGGTATTTAGAATGAAGTAACCCAAAGGATGCCAGAATGATTAACTTGGAACTGAATCTTTGCATAGAACTGGGACACTCGAGTCCATATATCTAGGAGAGAGGGACTGTCACATTTTTAAATGAGGGCTGGGAGCTGCTATTGCCCAATGACTGTTCTCAGTTTGGTCCAGAGTTAAGGTCCCAGGGAACAGCTGCCTAGTACCAAGCAAAACACCACAACTGGTTCATAGTTGGGTTTGGAGAGGACTGCTGAGACTTGTGTAACCTAATGGGAAACTCAAAGGCCTGTCAACAGAGTCATACCACTTCTGAAGAAGATGAAATCCTCTGGGCAGCTGTGTAGGTTCTGTGTCTGTGTTTTTAGATAAGCCTGTCTCCCAAAGCATCCCATTGTGGTTTTAACCACACTGGGCTCTTGACAAACATCCTAGTACAGAATGAAAACCCACAGCAGAGGGAACCTTTCAGCAGCTTTGGTGTCTGGACAGGAAGATGGGTAGGGCAACAGCATGGTATTATATCTCCTACCAGAAATCCCAGAGCTTTGAAGGGCAGGCAGCATTTGTTTGCAAAGGCAATAGGTCTCACAAAATAGGTTGGCATTTGGCCACCCTGAAGACAGTAACTGTGATTATTCTCCTTGTCAGTAAAATTGCAGGATGACAGTTTGGTTGTATTTTTAATATAGCGTATAGGTCTATGTTTCTTTTCAATAAACGTTTTGAGGGAGAAAAACCCTCAGATTATTTGAAAACACATGTGTAGCGTGTCTGAGGCAAGTAACATTAGCTGTTGTCTCGGTGCTACTCTGTTAGGTGAGCCTGGCATGCCTCTGCCTGCTTACTCTGAAGCAAGCTCATACCTGTTCTTTCTGATGGTATGACCTGTGCTTACTTTCAGGAATGAACTCAATCCTGGTCTACATTGGACATGAAGTCTTCGAGAACTATTTCCCTTTCAAGTGGAAGATGCAAGACAGTCAATCCCATGCAGAGCATCTGACTCAAAACCTCACTGCGACAACTCTTTGGGTCATAATATCTTACTTACTTTACAGGAGAAGGATATTCTGGAAAATCTGATAGAGGTGATCAAGGCCTAGATTCTGATGGAACAAGTGCACAAGGTGGATTAGCCTGAAACAGAAATACTGCCACTCATGCTAGGCTGTATTACTAAAAAGGGATACTAGTTCAAGTTTACAGTGCCATGGAGGTTGACATCAAGACTTTTATGTGACTTAAGGGACTTATTTTCCTATTTAGCAAATACTTACTAGTCTTCTGCAATTGCCCTTTCTGTCTTCTGTATTTTGTAAATATTTTACTGATCTCCCTCCTTCACATGGAGAAACTGAACATATTGCAGCAGTTGGGCAGTCAAAGACAGCCTGATGGTGCTTACAAAAGGAACTGTAAGGGATCTGGGTGGTGATTGCAAGGGGTTATCAGGATGGGACTATGGTAACAGCCATTGCACCTGCGAAGGCACCCCCTAACTCACATAGTTTGGGGTCTGTACATACCCCTGGCACCTGCCACGTGCCTGTGCCACTCTGGCTCCTGGCACACACTTAACTAGGCCATCTTCTCGACTTGGAAGTGCTGGCAGCGTCCTCAGCCCTGCACTTGAGTCGGTGGTGCCGTGACTGGGAAAGCTCAGGGTCACCTCTGTGCTATAGTGTGCTGCAGAATGTGGCGACTCGACTGATCATTCTTCATTGTGTTCTTTCAATTTGGTCTCAGATCAAAACCTTAGGTTTAGGACCCTGCTGAAGCCTGCTGCCAAAGATCTCTTCTGTTGGCTTATAAATCAGCACACTGCTGCTACAGGTTTAGCAGTCTGTGTGTGCATCTTCTGGGCCTTTGTGTTACATACCTCTAGCATGGATGAGGTCTGAGTTTCATGTGCTACACTCTAAGAGTGCGGACTTTGTATAATCACTTGGATATTGCCAAAGTTGGATCAAAGCAATCCTCTTTATAAATGGATTTACGTAAGGGCCCTGAATCTGAAAACCAGCAATAGAGGTAGAATTCAGCCAAAAAGGAAGAGATAGTAGACCAATTCAATGTAAGAAAATAGTTCTTGGAAACTCAGGAAATTCACTCATGCTGTGAATTCCAAACTAGTGCTAATAAAAAGCCTGAAAGACCCTGCTATGTTTTCTGTGTATGTATAAAGACAGAAAGAACCAAGACGCACACCTTAGTATAATGGTCTAGAAAAAAAACTCAAAACAAATAGGACATTACAGAAGACTTCTTAAAGTTTTATTTATAAAGTTTGATCTCCCCACATTAGAAAACTAAGCAGTGAACAGACACGGAGTAGCGTTCGTGTACTGCAGAACTTGTAACTCATAGGGAGCTTCTCTGACTCTCTGGACAAGTGATTTTCCACTGCCACACTGCTGTTCATGCAATTTGAGAGCCTTGCCCTCTCTTCATAAGAGACAGTGCATCGTAATCCATTTCATTCAAGCAAGAGTCTGAAGCAGCAATATTTTCTCATTAATGCAGAACCTATGCAAGACCACCATGAGATTTTCCCCACAGCGTGAGACCTGGCGCTCCATGGCCAGGCGGAAATCTTCTTTCACTCCTTTAGTGATACCCCGGGTAACTGTATGATGCCTTAAGCGACGAAGGAAAGAGAGACAGACAAAATCAAGTAACGGTTATTTGGTGTACTACAGTAATTTAAAAGGTGCTGCATGTCACTTACTATGTATCTACTGTCCATGCCCGAGTTTATAAGAGAACCAAATACCCTGTGTGCTATGCTATTTTTTTAAAAATCATGTGTTGAATAGCTTACAAGTCTTTCAATAGGTAGAAGTTTCAGAAAAGTCTATGCTCTCACTGCTTTGATTATGACTGTAGGGGGAGGGGGTTAATGTTGCTGTTCTGGCTAACAGGAAGATCTATTCTCTTAACCCAGCATGTACAAAGTTCTTGCCTGGAGAAAAGAAATTTTTTTTCTCCACCTTTGCTGCCCAGGCCACTTCCTCCTTGTAATCACTTCTATAAATGGTTGGGGTTGAAAGAAGAGTGAAAAGACCCTGCCTTCTCTGGAGGAAGGGGACAGATGGCTGCCACCCTAAAGAGCAGAGGGTATCTTGTACCAGTAGGAAGGCACAGGAAGGAGTTATATAATCCTGTGGGCACTGATCACTCTTTGACTAACAAAACGACCAGTGAACACTTCACAGGCCAATACAAAGCCTGCATCAAGCCAGGCTGGAGTCCGTGTCAGTAGAAGCCAGCTTTTGTGGAGATACTAGACACCAGGCAGGGATTACATTTATTCTGAGCAGAAGTTCGGGACCTGTTTTCAAATAGAAAAAGGTCTAGCTACTGAGCAAGCTAAAGCGATACTGACTCGGGAAATTCTTGGGATATTGCCCTGTTAAAGGCCATTCTTATGAACAGTTCTTTGTCCTCATGCTGGCCTGTAGCATTCAATACCTAAATCTTGTCTTTAAGACAATGTTCTGCAGCGTCAAAGCCCTACACTTTACTTGCACTGGTCCAGAACTGGATAAGTAAGATCAAGACTTCGTAACACCTACCTGTAAGACCTACTTAAGAAGGGAAGCAAAAGATATGCCCTGAAATGAGTGTCCTAGCACTACTAAAGGAGTAGCATAAATTAAATTAGAGAGAAAAGCATAATGCTAACGTTAAGACAAGTTCTGAGTCATGGGTAAAAAGGGAAGAGCTGGGCTGAACCCAGCAAGCACCCTGAAAGACAGAAAAGAAATAAAGGGTGAGGGCATCTGTGCCAATACAGAGATGTTGGAAACAAGAAAGGAAAAAGTCTGGAAACTACCCTCACCAACAATACTACCACACCTTTGCTTAAATCTGCAAGTCCAGCATTTGAGAAGAGACTTCTCTGCCACAACAGTAGAAACATCTGTAACAAGTGGAAAAGGCAAAGAAGAGACTAGCCTGGAGTCTAGTGGGCAATTCATTGATGAGCTAGGCTGAGTGAAGCAAAACTGCACTGAAAGTATTCCAGCATATTCAGAGGTTATGGGAAAAGCCCTGTTTTCCATCTTTACTCTCTTAACCATTGCTGGCAGCTGAGTGCTATGGTCAGTCCCAACCTAAAGCAGGATGTGCAACTTGCAGCTACTGAGAAAACCAGCAGCATTTTTAAAGATGTGTCCTGTAACAACTGGAAAACAGAAAACAGAATTCAGAACAACTTAAAAGAAGAAAAGTAGCTACAAAAGGATCCAGTAACCAGTATTTAGAAAACTGTTATACTCTTGCTAATACATGATTGAACATCAGCATCATTTGGGGGGATTTCTACATTTTTGTTTAAATTCAACAGTTATTATTAGATTGAAAGGACACGGATACTGGCAACTTATGGGAAAAAGGAAAATAAATGTTATAATAGAACAACATGGTTTGCCAGGCAATGTAGGCACAAATGGAGGAAAACAAAAAAGATAAATATTGAGTAACAAATTGCTGAAAACCATGGGCAGTAAAACATGTTGACAAAACACAGCACACTATGAGCGGGGTTTTTCCACTTGGTACCTGTCAGCAGTCTGTATGCTGGGCTGTAGCACAGGTATGAATTCCTGCTGCAGTAACCCCATGGGAGGGCTAGAAGTCCTTTAAAAAACAGCAAACAGCAGCATTCAAACACCCACACACAAACTCCCCCTCTGGTGCAAAACAGCTCTCCAGAAAAAGGAGCAACAGAGAACTAGGGTGAGACCGCACAGCGGTATGACCACCCAGCAGCCGAAGGGGTGCAGGACTTAACAGCATCAAACATGCAAACATCCCCAGATTTCATTGCAAGGCTGTTCTGCAACTGTGGTCTCAATATATACACATATTTTTTGACAGTTACACCGGAAGGGACAGCGGTAGGTGCAAAACCAATTCACAGTTGTACTATGATGAAATGTAGTAGCTCTCCCCAGGAAGTTTGTCAGTCAGAAAAGATTTAATCACAGGAGCACTGCAGATACCACAGCTGCCCTGCAGAGCTGGCAACCTGGGAGAGCCCACCACTTGGGAGTTCAGGGATTTGCTGCTGAGCCCAAGCCGAGTGCATGCACAGCGGGTATCGGCCAAGTTGAGTACATGCCAGTTACAGGTTGCCCAAGTATCTTTCATTAGCCCACAGATGGCCTTTTTCACCTTTTCAAATTCAAACTGCATACAAAATGGCTGTTAGAGGATGGAACAATCTCAAGAGCACAAACGCCCACTCAGAGCAACCCCCCATTTATGACCAGGGCCACATGAACTAACCACCAAAAGGTGTCTCAGCTGGAAGACAGTTTGTCTTCTCTGTGAAGCTAAGTCCTTATCTCTGTGAGCTAACACAAGATAACCTCACGTGTCCTGCCTAGAGCAAATCCAATGCCCCACCTAAGGAGAAACAAGAAATTTGGTATATAGAGAACAGGCCTAGTTCCTTAACCTAAGTCTCTCAAAACGTCACCTAAATCTTATAAGGCATCTAAGTACTGAGTGCATTGTTCATCCCCATAGATGCTAAGAAGGGAGCAGAGAAGCAAGACTCACAACCCTATAATACTGAGTTAGGTGCCTACCTTCACATCTCACAGGACATTTTTATTAGTTTCTACAATTTACTGATGAATATGGATAGAGAGCCGAGTCAAATAAAGATGGGACATTTTAGTAGTACAGAAACACTCTACAGCTACAATAACCTGAAATAAACTATTCACAAGAATTATTCAATCAAACGAGATAATTTTTCAAGAGTTATTGGCATAAATGAGTCCAGTACTTGGAAAAATGGGACACGGGGAACAGAAAATACAAAGGAGCAGCACGATGTTATTGGTCCCAGAGTGGCAGATGTTTGCAAAAGGGATTCTGCACAACTGTGTATTCATTACTGTTTGCAAGATCTGCAGTCAGAACTAAACATACCCAAGTGCACAATCAGAATAAAAATTGCACTTTCAGTATACTTTGTTTCACTTGAAACCAACCCAGTTTTTCCTCTTCTGTCCCCAAGGGGAGATGTGATGGGAATGTGAGTAGAGGCAGAACACTCAACAGCTTTCACATCAAGTTTACACAGTTTGGTAGGCTAAGATTAGACTCATTAGAGGAAGATTTATCAAAAAGAAGAGCACGATATTAATCGGTCGTTTCTTGCATATTGTTCTTTTCCTCTTTAACTTCACTAGCTAACACTGCCACTACAGACATGTATAATCCGTAAAACTATGAAACTTGGCTTGTCTGGAATGGAGTTCAAAAGCACGTAGTGGTTGAATTCAGAGCTCATCGTAGAAGTCTTGTTGATGCTGCAAATAGAATGAGCTGGCTGTATGACCAGTGAAAACCAAAACCATGGACCTTCATATTCCCACAATGGATACAAACTGTATATATTTTTTGCAGGACCCAATTATAAGTCTGCAGGCTACCAAGACCTTACTTGAGCTTTTGAAAACCACACTGCAGTTTGCTTTCCTGTGTTCAGAATAAATGAATACTCATTTCCTATAAAGTCTAAGGTACTGAGAAAAAGTAATGAAGAACAACATGGAATTTACCTGGACATAAAACATCCTCTAAGTCATGAAACAAAAAGCTGTCCTTTTAAAAAAAACATATAATATCTGTAATACATTTCCCATCAATTAGGATGCAGGATCGCTGCATACATTCATGCTGAGGAGAGATCAGGCAAAGGAGAAACTGCTTCATTTCTGGACTGCTGTGGCAAACTCACTGTCTTCCTGTGCATGACTGAACACTGAGCTGCCTCTGCTAATTATTGGGAGGATCATGTAGCAGCTCATACAGCCAGAACTGGTGATAGTTTTGGAAGATGAAAGCCAGACTACAGATTTTGATCTTACTAACCACTGTCCCAACAAACAGGGCTGTGTTAACGTACTCATCTAAAACCTTAGCTGGGGGAGGCTGTGAGCTAACCAGTGCTGCTGAGGTCAACACTGCTGGGTGACACCAACCCTGAGCCTCACAGCCAGTCCAGCTAAAAAAATACCTGGGGTACCAGGGGAGTAGATGTCATCTCCAATTAGTGAGCTATGCCCTGAAATCTCCCTCCCATCAGCTCTCTGATGAAGTGGTTCCTGTCCTACACATCTCAGCCACATAAAAG